CCTCCCCATCCTATATACGTTCCCCGTTACATCGCTATATGGATGCTCGCTTCTGATTCAGCAGTTCGCACTTCATGAAGGCGTCGACGTCCTCGGTGCAGTTGTACATGTTCTCCTTGTTCGTGCGCGAGTACTTCTGCGGCGGCCGCTTGCCGGAGCGGAACAGCCCGCCCTCGCCGTAGCACGAGCACGAGCAGACGGACAGGTTGTCCGGCTGCTGCGCGTCGTCGACCGTGTCGATGGGTCCGTTCGCCGTCACTACGATGTCGCCGTCGAGCGCGAACGGGCTCGGCTCCTCCGACTTGTCTTCGAGGTTCTCCATGTTGAGCGTGAAGAACTTGAGCACGACGAGGTTGATGCAGGCGCCGGCGACGATCAGGCCGACGATGATGAAGATCAGACTGAAGGCGACGTACTCGGGCCGCTCGTTCAGATCCTGGTTCTCCTGCAGCGCGACGAGGTCGCCGAATCCGATCGTCGTCACCGTGATGAGGCAGTAGTAGAGCGCGTCGAAGTACGACCAGTTCTCCTCGAAGTTTGAGAAGGCGGCGGCGCCGGCGAACGTCACCATGCCGCTGAGCGTCGTGCCGACGCCGATCAGCGTCTTGTCGGACACCTCGTTCTCGTTCTTCATCTTCAGCGCCTTCTTGATGTGCCGGATGACGAACGCGAAGAACGTGTTCAGCCGCTCGCCGACGCTCTGGAACATGACGAGGCCGAGCGGGATGCCGGCGAGCGCGTAGAACATGCAGAACAGCTTGCCGCCGATCGTGCGAGGCGTCGCCTGGCCGTAGCCTGCAAACACAGACATGTCAGCAGGTGATTCGTGAAGCCCTAGTACGACGCTACGCCCTCCCCGCGCACACACACGCACGCACGCACACACACGCACGCACACACGCACGCTAGCGCGCACACGCACTCACACGCACTGCCACCGGCTGCGCGCACACACACACACACACACACACACACACACACACACAAACACCACACACACACTCACACCACATCCACACACGCACACTCTCACACACACACAACCACACACACACACACACACACACACACACACACACACACACACACCACATTATCATCGTGGATTTCCTCTATTCTACGAGATTTCCTCGTACGTCATTCGCGGATAAATCTTATAATTGTATTTACATTTGTCAGACGAGCAGGAGAGAGTGATTTGGATGGACAACCCTTATTTAGTTCGGGCCGAATTCCATAAAATTCATATGTACACGCATGGCGTCAGAAATTAGTTTGGTTTTAATTTTTATCATAAACTAACACACACACACGCCCCGCGCACAAGCACGCACGCACGCACACACACACACACACACACACACACACACACACACACACACACACACACACACACCACACACACACACACACACACTGCATGTGCGGGATTAATCATAACGATAGAAAGGACTACCAGTTTACACACGCAGCAATTTTGGGGCTATATATAGTTTCGCCGCGATAGAATGAGTGCGTGCGTGAATCGTTAACAACGATTACAGTAAACCGCAGTCGAGTGCCTAGACGCCGGCACCTTCATTATAGAAGATTTTCTAAAATATGATTGATATTAGCAGCGTAATTGGCAGCGCGAAGTGCAGTTCAGGGGCGTCACTTTCTTTAATCGGTTGCCCCTCTCTCCTTCAGTGAGAATGCGCCGCGGTGGAAATGTTATCGGACATCTTACATGTGCAATGCACAGATGTTTGAACTTTGGCTGGATAAATGGACTCGAACACCGACGCTGTCCTCTGGTGAGAATAAAGGGAATTCAATCGATGCCCCGGAATGGCCGCGCCATCGACATGAATAAATAACCTGTAGTGCTAGTGTCCGGCCTCGCGGCAAGGAGACTGTAAAATTGCTCCGTGCGTTTGTGATGCTGGAGATGGTCGCTAGCGTCGCTATCGTCGTTCAACATTACATAGTCGGTGACGTGCGGGGGTTCGTCTCGGCGGCCAGTGACTGCGCAGCAATTGCCTCTAGCGGTCGCATGTCAATAGTCATTAGGGAACGCTGCTGGTACCAATTCGGAGCCAACGGCGACAGAACAAGATTAGCTAGCGCTGATGCTACGCGGGCGCGCTCGGCCCTAGATAAATTCTCGCTATTTTCGTATGAATGATTGGGATTAGGATTAGATTTCTCGCTGCTTGCAGTTTTGAATGTGCTGCTGCAGCATCGTCGGCGCGCGCTGTGATGTGAGCAGCTAGAGCGCGTGATGCGGCTCCGTACGTGCGTGCGTGCGTGCGTGCGTGCGTGCGTGCGTGCGTGCGTGCGTGCGTGCGTGCCACAGACGTTCAGTAACAGCGTCCGATGACCTGCCACGCGCTGCGCACAGTCGTGCTCACACCGACCCTGCTGCTACCCCCCCCCTCCTCCTTTGCTCTCTCTCTCTCTCTCTCTCTCGCTCTCTCTTTCTCTTTCTCTCTCAGTCTCTCTCTCTCTCTCTCTCTCT